TATTGTAAAATAATTTTTTTATGTGTTTCACACCGTGTGAAAAATCAGTCGTGTAACATCGACGGTCGCTCCTGTATGATACGATATCGGAATTTACCTCACTTTTGACGGACCCCCTATTTTTTTTTTAGTTTGTACTACTCGCGCAAATAAGTGAAACCGCGTAGTACAGATTTAGAAGAATTTTATTTTCGTTAACGATGTCATTTAACGATTTAGAAAGGGGCATAGGATCAACAAAGGATCGAAGACATTATGGTGGTGTCTCACCTCTTGGTGGTATGTACACGACATTCTTTGGGTATTATTATTACATACAAGACTCAATATTAGCCAACTTCATTTTGAGTATCTAAAAGTATTTTTGACCAAAGAACGTAGTTTGTGAAATAAAAGGTTCACTTATGAATAACTCATCACTAAAATTGAAATATATACTTCAATATTACTATAGACGAGGACTCACAATATAAAACCTTGAGTAAAACTATATCCCAACAAGTTTTTGAAATTACCAGTAATGTGGCGTCGATACAAAGACTAGTCAGTTATCTCGGAAGTGCGAAAGATACACCAGAGATAAGATCTAAATTGTAAGTCATATAAAGATTTTATTTGTAATAATACGCATTCTTACTAACTATTATCATTTGATGGCGATTTTGATTTGAAGACATTCATTAACAGAAAAAACACAAAGACTGGTAAAAGACACAACTGGAAATCTCAAGACGCTTACACATTTTGAGGGTACTAGTGGTCAAAACGTAAGTATAAGAATGAACTATTGTTAATAAAATAATAGCAATTTAATTTTTTACAAATTCATTTGAATTAATGATATTCATTTTCCAGCGTCAACGCAAGCTTGAACAACAAAAACTTTCGAAAGATTTTCAAAAGACGTTAACAGAATTTCAGAAAGTACAAAGGCTTTCAGCAGAAAGACAACGGGAATATGTTGATAAAGCAAAAGCGCAAAATGTCCGAAATGATATATATGATGACGATGACGCAGTTATTCATGAGGCGCAACCCCTTATAAATGACAATCAACGACGACTTCAATTTCAAGTCTTAGATAATGAGGTTGAATATAATGAATCATTAATTGCAGAACGTGAAGGTGAAATAAGAGAGATCGAACAGGGACTTAATGAATTGAACGAAATTTTCAGAGATTTAGGAACACTAGTGACAGAACAACAAACTATGTTAGGTAATTTAATTTTTGATTTATACTTAAGGCATACAGATTACATAATTTAATAATTTCCTACATATTTATAGATAATATTGAAAGTAATGTGACAAACATTTCTGTAAACGTTCGAAATGCAGCAGATGAATTAGGCAGTGCTAATCGACTTCAAAAGAAAGCACGCAACCGTATGTGCATTCTCATGCTTATTTTTGCAGTAGTGGGTGGTGTTGTAATTTTAGCTGCTCTGGCATGAAGAATTGACTTTGTTAGTGATTGAACTCGTCTGAAAAACAATGACCTGGGTGATTCGACGGGTGGGTCACCCGGGTGAATAAGCTGGTATCTTTTGCATATTTCAAATATAAAATCAGAATAATGTTATATCTGAATTTTAATAATAGTTGAGCATGTCCAAATGTCCGTTCTCGATTTAATTTCTATATAAAGATTTTTAAAGCATATATATTTATTCATCGCATTTTATTTTTAAGGGTTATTATTAATTAATTCATATTCATTTTTAATTATTTCTTAGTCTGTGAAATCACCTAAAAAATTTTAACAATTAATAAAATTTGGGTTAATGACTTTCTGCCTAAACTATGAGACGAATTTTGTGTTTATTTATAATGTTTCTTAAATAGGTTAAATTTTTAACATGTTTATCTTTGGAATTATGATTATATAATGAAAGTAATCAGATATGTCATGATTATTTTCATGTGAAATTATCATGTAAGAAAAACTGTAGTGTCAAAGCATAAATTTTTTGGGATGTGTTTTTTTTGTAATTAGATTGGAATTTTGGGTTAGAATTGTTATATATTTATCCGAGTCTAACATGATATTATTATACTGTAAATCGATATGTACTATAATTGATTTAGTTTTACGTATTCTCGGCGTGTGATCAAGAGCGACTTGGTATTAGCGTTAGTGAAGCACTAAACTTTATTGAACAAATTTGATCAGTTTCGATTTCAAATCTTTCCGACGAGTTATTTATGATGCATAAGAGCGCAATGACTAAGTGTTTGTAAGAGTTGCATAATCAATATTTTATTAACCTTTTAACCAATTCAAGAGGTGAAGGTCGTCTTAATCTATACATTTATTACTTGTAAAAATTTTTGAATATATATCTATTTCACAACATATTGGAGGGTGTCAGTAGAATTGTTTCTAAGTAAATTTTTTTTAGTTAAAATATCTCAACAACTATTAAACCTAACTTGATAAAAATTTTTTTATTTTAATGCTATTTAGTTATAGAATTAAAATAAAAAAAAGTTATTAAGTTTGGTTTAATAGTTGTTGAGATATTTAATTTAAAGTTTTAAAAAAACTTACTAAAAACAATTTGCCTGGTTTCTACTGACACCCCCCCATATACTGTACGTAGTGGTTCTATTAAATTATTGAATGCGACAATTAAGAATCACCTATTTTTAGCATCGACAAGTCATATACATAAAAGTAATATTATTTATTAAATTCAACGTTCGGTTTATACTCTAAAAATAATAATCTCTATATCGAGCAACAACTTCATAATAAAGTAAACAAGATACGAGACTAACGACTTTACATTAACTTTACACGCTTACCGTATAAGCGCGTAATAACGCGCAGGGGTGTAATTTCGAAATTTGGCCTAAATTAAGCCTAATTCTGGCCATTATTCAAAATAACGCCCCTGCGCGTTATTACGCACTTAATACGGTAATACTCGAGAGTAGACTCTAAAAATAAAACTCTCGAAACAAAGCTCTAAAGTTAAATTTTAAAAGTAAAACTCTGTCATTACTGCATTAGGTAGTTTTCATATTATTAAACTTCTAAACAGACCCAGCCACCCGGCTTTTTTTTCTAAATTTTATATATAAAAACTTTATTTAAATATCTACCCGGTTATTGTATACACTATACATACCGTACCATTCCGAAATTAAGCACTGCCAAATTTGTATAATATCCGAAAATAAGTATAATCGTATCGGATTTTTTACTAAACAAGTCTACTATCTGTTTCTAAGTAAAGATATTCTCCAGGTCAAGA